AGACCTAAGAGACAAATACCCTCTACCCATGAAAAACATCTGGATGTTTCCAACAGGTCCCCAAGGCAAATCAACTGTGGGTGCCAAAGCACTTTTTAAACCAAGTGTCCATCGAAGGATGGATGAAAAAAGAAAATGCGGTCTATATACACAATGGAATACTATTCAACCTTAACCAAGGAGGAAATCCTGTCATTTGTGACAATGTAGATGAACCTGGAAGGGATCATGCTAAGCGAAATAAGCCAGGCACAGAAAGTCAAATACTATATGACATCACTTATGTGTGGAACCTAAAAACACCAAACGTGGGCTGGGTGTGGTGGCTTATGCCTATAATCCCACATGTTGGGAGGCCGAGGGGCGTGGATCACCTGAGATTGGGAGTTCAAGAACAGCCTGACCAACGTGGAGAAACTTCGTCTCTGATAAAAACACAAAATTAGCCTGGCATGGTGGAGCATGCCTATAATCCCAGCTACTCAGGAGGCTGAGGCAGGAGAATAGCTTGAAACTGGGAGGCAGAGGTTGCAGTGAGCCAAGATCTCACCATTGCACTCCAGCCTGGGCAGCAAGAGTGAAACCCCATCTCAAGGGAAAAAAAAGTCAAACTCATAGAAACAGAGAGTGGCCAGAGGCTGAGGAGTAGGGAAATAGGAGGTATTGATCAAAGGGTATAAAGTTTCCACCAGACAGGAGGAGTAAGTTTAAGAGGCCTACTGTACGCCATGGGGACTCAAGCTAATAACGACGTACCTGGAATTTGTGAAGAGAGATTTTACGTTTTCTCACCATAAGAAAACAACTATGTGAGGTAATGCATATGTTAAATCGCTTGATTTCGCCAATCACAATGTATACATATACCAAAGCATCATGTTGGACAACATAAATATATACAAATTTTACTTGTCAATTAAAGAAAGAAAAATGTGTGAAGGGCTTTTAGGTTTAAAGAAAAAACCAGTGCTTTGTAGACCAAATGTCCCAGGTGGCTGGGAGCTTAATGGTTAGAGGCAGCATCACAGATAAATCTGAGGCCTGAGGGTCAGACCGCTGGAGCCTGGCTCTCTTCTCACTAGATGACTTTGTGTAAGTCCATTAGCCTCTCTCAGACAGGAATAAATGATAGTGCATGTTTTGTCAGGTCAGTGTACTGTGAAATTAAAGCACTTAGTGCAGTGCTGGGCATAAGGAAACAGCTACTGTTGCTCACATCATCACTGTCACCTTGAGGAGTGCTTTCTACCTGTCGTCCAGGTGGAAGCCCACAGACAGCTTTCTCTCAAACAGAACTGCATCTCTGTCTCCTATCACCTTAAATTTTGCATTCTGCTAGAAGCTTTCTTTGGACAAAGAATCATTCAGCTTCTTACTATAATAATTTGAGCCCATCCAGTGACCACAGTGCTCACCATAACCCCAACCCTTCCACCCCTAGATGCCACCGGCAGTGCGGTCCCCAGCTTCATACCGGTGTCAGAAGAGAAAGTCAGCCCTTAACTAAGAAATCATGTCTCACTGGAGACATTCAAGCAAAGATTGGACAACTACTTCTCCAGAACAGAAAGGAAACTCACGTGTCAAAAACAGTGACTAATAAACACACAGAAAGAACATGGCTGCACGAATACCAGAATCTGATCAGATAAAGCAGTTTACAGAATGCCTTGTAACTACAAGAAATGTATAGAAAACTGCTTTTTTAACTGAGTTAGAGACTTCACGAGAGACCGCCTGCTCGGAACATCGCTTACAGAAATATTTTTAAATGACGCAAAGGATATCCATGAGATCTCAGGAATATCGTTCAGCAGCCAGACGGAAGAGAAGTCCTGATGGATGAACTTTCAGTAGAAAATTCCCAGTAACTACTGTGCTGGACATGAGGACTCATCCGATAAAATCTCCCGACAGCCGTAGCCGCCATGTTAAACCATCTCTCATGACTGTTTGGCAAATGAAAACCACTGGAGACAAAAATCTCTATTTCCCTGGAATATCAAAATGGAAGACCTTATTGTTCGATGACAATAAGAGGCGACATTTGTTGAGGCCTTAAGATTCAGTAGCTGGGTCACTTGATTAGAAAAATAAACTATTGCTTCTTAGAAAAAAATTAAAGTGGCTTGAAAATCGCTACTCTGACTTCTTCTAGTTAGATTGATGTGGGACAGCGATGGTCTGCAAAGCCTTCTGCTGCAAACACCTGGGAACTGAAATAAAACATAACAAGTATCCTTTTCAATGCAGAACAGAGAATGTAAGAAAGTAAGGGAAATGACCTCTGCCAGAAACAGAAAAACTACAAAAGCAGAAGGGTGAGCATGTGAGCCAGGTGTGTGTGCCGGGGAAGCAGGGGAACGATGGCTGTTGACAATCCAGGGGCTTGGGTTTTAACACCAACATGGGGACAGGGGACAATTAGAGGACACACACACTTTCCAAGCACATGCAAAACATCTACTATAATTTTTTTTTTTTTTTTTTGAGACGGAATTTCTTGTTGCCCAAGCTGGAGTGCAATGGCGCGATCTCAGCTCACTGCAACCTCCACCTCCTGGGTTCAAGCGATTCTGCTGCCTCAGCCTCCTGAGTAGATGGAATTACAGGCGTGCACCACCACATCCAGATAATTTTTGTATTTTTTTAGTAGAGACAGGGTTTCTGTATATTAGGCTGGTCTCAAACTCCTGGCCTCAGGTGATCCGCCCACCTCGGCCTCTCAAAGTGCTAGGATTACAAGTGTGAGCTACTGTCACTGATCACAGGCTAGGTCACGAAACGCATCTCGGCAAACGCAAAGGAATTGATACTGTACAGCCTACGTTTCCTGGCCCCAGTGACTTTCAATCAAGAATAGTAATAACATAACCAGAAGTGCTTTGTACATTGGCAAATTTAAGAACATCCTTGTAAATGACTTAGGTGTCAAATTTGAAAATATTTAGAATGGAGTAAAATGAAAGGTAAATACACTTAAGGGAAACAGCTAAAACAGTAAATTGAGGGGAATGTTATAGCTTTTTCCTGAGTCTGTTTCATGCTGTTATTACGGGTACCACAGACTGGGTAGTTTACAGTGAGCAGAAATTTATTGTTCTGAAGGCTGGAGAGTGCAAGATGGAGGGGTCACATGTGGCAAAGGGGGGTTGTTTCATCATCCCACGGTGGAAAAGCAAAACGAGGGTGGGGGAGAGAACAAGAGCGAGAGATCAGACTCGCAGCCTCAAGCCCCTTTATTTTATTATTTTGGTGTTCTTTCTTTCTTTTTTTTTTTTTGAGATGGAGTCTCACTCTGTCACCAGGCTGGCGTGCAGGGGCGCGATCTCAGCTCACTGCAACCTCCGCCTTCCAAGTTCAAGCAATTCTCCTGCCTCATCGTCCCGAGTAGCTGGGACTACAGGCGTGTGCCACCACAGCCAGCCAATTTTTGTATTTTTAGTAGAGACGAGGTTTCACCATGTTGGCCAGGATGATCTCAATCTCTCTTGACCTCGTGATCCACCCGCCTCGGCCTCCCAAAGTGCTGGGATTACACATGTGAGCCACTGTACCCGGCCATCAAGGTTTTTATAATTGATATTAATCCATTCATGAGGTTCCAGCGCCATCACCTGAACACCTCCCATTAGGCCCCCATCTCCCGTCAGTGTTGCCTTGGGGATTAAATTTCCAACACATGTTTTCGGGGAACATATTCAAACCATAACAGCTTTAAACACACGTGTTAAAATCTACAGCCATATCCCCCTGCATGGTTTCAATCTCGTCTAATCTTAGAAGTTGAGTAGAGTTGGGCCTGGTTACTACTTGGAAGAAGACTGCCTGGGAATATGGGTGCCAGAGGTTTTTTCTTAAGGGCTTTATCTAATTAAGGAGGAGGAGGAGGTGAAGGAGGAGTAGGAGGAGGATCTTAAAGAAGAAGAAAGACAAAAGCAGGAGAGAGAAGCGTTCAGCATTCAATTTAAGGAATTAGAAAAATAAAGTAGACCAGAAAACCCACAGAAAGCAGAGGATACAAATGATAATGATATGAGCAGAAATGGATAAAACAGAAAACAAAGGGATAATAAAATAAACAAACCAAAACTTGGTTCTTTGAAAAGACTAATAGGCAAACTTCCCGCCGAGGTGGATTCAGAAGGTAAAAATAATACAGCGAATGAGGACGGGGCAGAGACAGATTTCTTTAAAACAGCATCGACTTAAAATTGTGATGACAACAAATGTGACCGTTTACATAAAATGAACAATTTTCTAGAAAAATAATTTGCACAAACTGATTAAAGAAGAAATAAAAAACTTGAGTATACCGATGTTACGGGTTGAATTGTGTTCCCTTGGAAGAGAGATGCCGGAGTTCTAACCCCCAGTGCTTCCGGATGCGACCTTACCTGGAAATAGTCATTGCTGATGTAATTAGCTAAGATGAGGTCATCTTGAAGTCGGTGTGCCCCTAATCCGATGTGGTGTCGTCCTAAGAGGGCCGCCATGTGGAGACACAGAGAGCACCACACGGAGACAGAGGCAGAGTAGGGGTGATGCGTCTATAAGCCAAGGAATGTCAAGGGTCTCTGACTATCATCAAAAGCCAAGGGAGACCATGGAAGAGAGTCTTCCCCAAAGCCTCTAAAAGGAACCAGCCCTCGGGATCCTTTGATTTCAGGTTTCCAGCCTCCACAACAGTGAGATTAAATTTCTGTCGTTTTAAGCTGCCCAGTTTGTGAGACTTTGTTCCAGCATCCCTGGGAAACTAATACCATCAATAACCATTGGGGTGACTGAAATGACAGTCTAAAATCTAAACACACACACAGATCCAGTTCAGCCTCCCCATTGTCTAGACAAGTAGACGGAAGCCCCGCAGCTCCCCAGCAAGTTGGTGAGGTCACATGTGGCATCAGGGAGCAAGCAGGTGTCCACACCACACTCTGCAGGAGGACAGTTGGTGCCCAAGCACTTTTCCCATGTTTCATAGGCCTGTCTTTTCTTCCCAGGTGCATCAAGGTGATGGAAAATTAATTCTCTACCCCAACGAGAATGTCTATCAGATTTTCTTTCCTGATGGGACAGGCCAGATACAGTATCCACAGAAGCACAGGGAGACTCGTGCTGACATACATTGGCGCCTAAAATGCCTGTGATTCAGGGTGTGGGGTTTGACTGAGGCCTGAATCGTCTGCAGGGCCCTTCCTTTTCCAGGGAATCCCAAGGACTGACTGCTTGTGCCTTAACCTCCTCCCAGTTATCCATCCGGAAACCTGGCTATGCTCATCTTACAAGTGAAAATGAAAAAGTTCACATTCATCATTCTGGAAGACAGTCCGCAAGGGCGGATCCGGGCCCTCATCAACAACTCAGGCAATGCCACCTTCTATGATGAAAATAGAGACATCAGGTAAGCCTGGGTCATGAGTCCCTAACATTCCTGCCCATGGAGAAGCAGCTGGAAAAATTGAGGCCTCCAGTTTGCACGAACTTCCTCTCTCCCTGTCTCAGACTCCCACGTGTTGGAAATGGGAGAATGAGCACCATGATGGACCAGTTTGTCAGGTCCCTGACCGCAGAGTAGGTCACCATTGCTCCCCGGTGGGTGAAACAGCAGTCGAGGCCCCACAGCAACCACATTCTATGGGTCTCATCTCCTAAGCAAGCACCTCTTGAGAGTCACCCTTGTGAGAATTACCTTAGGAAAACCCGGGGCCTCCCTGTTCTGGGTGCCTCGGAGAGGAGGGTTTGGTGAGGGTCTGGACACATGCATAGAGTCCATGGTCCAAAAGGTGACTTCTAAATATTTCACTATAACTGGACTTAGTTCTTAAGTTCCCATTTCTGGTAATGGTGGAAAACTATCTTACCAATTCAAGACAACTCAGTCACTTCAAAATGCTTCCCCGTCTCTTTAAGGCAAGGACTCTCTCTTCAGGATTTTCTCCTTCCCTTCCTCTTCTAAGTGGTCATGGTGTGGGGATTTATATATACTTTTTTTTTGAGATGGTGTCCTGCTCTGTCACGCAGGCTGGAGTGCAGTGGCGTGATCTCGGCTCATTGCCCCCTCTGCCTCCTGGGTTCCTGAGATTCTCCTGCCCCAGCCTCCTGAGTAGCTGGGATTACAGCCATGCTCTGCCAGTCCAGGCTAATGTTTGTATTTTTAGTAGAGATGGGGTTTTGCCATGTTGGCCAGGCTGGTCTCGAACTCCTGACCTCAGGTGATCCACCCGCCTTGGCCTCCCAAAGTGCTGGAATTACAGGCATAGCCACCACGCCCAGCCAAGGGGACTTAAACTATCTTGGATCAACTTTATACTTTCTTCTTGCTAGTCAAAGCCAAATGTAATTCCAAAAACAATGATTTTCAAGCTGGAGAGTTTGGTTCTTAACAATACTTTCTCTACCGTGAGCCTTTTTACACACCGTTTCCTGACTGTCTTCCTCGTGGAAGTATCTGCCCTCCCCTGAACGTCCTGTATATAGAAGATGCTCTCTAAGAAGTGGACCAAAATCTTGGGTACAGAAAGCACAAAGGAGTCGGGGCAAGAAATTCTCAGTTAATTACCTCAGAGAGGATCTGGTGACAGATCATCAAGCAAGCCAACATCAGGAAGGGAAGAGCTCCCCGCCCAGTCCTATCAGCACGTCCCGGCACCTCCGCACATGAGCATCTGGATGAGAGACAGATGGTCCCTGTATGTCCGTTCACAGCACCCATCACCCCACAAAAGTCAAACCACAGGGCCAGCCTCTGTGAATAGGCTGACCCACCCCCAGACTCATTCCTTCCCCAGAGGCAGCTGCTCCAGAGAAAAATGTTACCCACAGAGCTTGGTCTCCAAGGGAATTCTTCAGCAAAACTGCAGTTTCATTGACACTAGAGGATGTTATGGCAAAGCCTCCCAGAGTCATTTGTCAACACAGAGCCGCTTGGCCAGGGTCCCGACCCTAACTGCTAGAATTTCCTCAGCACCAACAGGGCTTCTCCTTGGTACCTCGGGCACTGGGAGGGACTTAGAGCCAGACTATTTCAAGAGCTGAATACTTCTTAGGTCACTTTTGATTTTCATTTCCTCAGGGAAGATGGAAGGCGTGGCTGTCCTTTGCCAGACATGTGGAAACTAAAATTCATCATTGCCCTTGACTCCCAGTCCAAGGGGTCTCAGGCCAGGCTTCCTACCTGAGGAAGGAAGGTTCAGGGTCCCACACAGTATTGAGACCTGTCCAAACTCAGGGTCCTCGGTGGGTGGGTTCTATTCATTCCACAGGTCAGGATCTTTTCAGCCCCTGAGCAGGAACTGCCCAATTCTGACCATTCCCAGATGTTCCAGATCCCATCTTTTAAGGGAGACTTAGCCCAGAGCTGGGCACTCATATTTAGCATATCTATTCCTAAGCAATGAGAATTTACCACATCTATTTCCTGGGGAGTGGGGGGTGGCCGAGTGTTGCTACTGGAATCCTAGGTTCTTTGGATCTCCCAGGATAGAAATCAAGAGAGATCACCAAACATAGCAGCAAAGGAGAGTTTATTTCAGCTTGTGCACAAGGGAGCCAGCAGAAGAAAAGGAATGGGCCACTCCCCAAGTGTAGTGTGTGGGCTGGTTTTCTAGGGTCTGTCTATAGGGACGGGTTATGACAGGGCAGGAATAGGGGCAGTTTTTCTATTGCTTGCCACAGTGGCTCAACGTGTGCCTTCCTTCATCTGACGTAGCATTAGCACTTTAAACTCCCACCCAGGTGTGCTTTTTAGCAGGAAAGTAAGGAGATGCTAACTGTCAGTTGAAGCTGAAGTCTCAGGGCTTCAGGGAAGTGCACAGCCACCCGAAATAGGAGCTTCTTGGCCTTTTGTTACTGACTGGTTAAGAGTTAGCTAAGCGGGAGCTTGAGACAGGGACTTTAATTCTTATCCTCCAGACCACCTTATAATTGGGAACCAAGCCGCCTGCCCATCTCTGAGAACTCTGATGGGAGCCATTTAAAAGGTTAAAAGCGGGCCGGGCGCGGTGGCTCACGCCTGGAATCCCAGCACTTTGGGAGGCCGAGGTGGGTGGATCACGAGGTCAAGAGATCGAGACCGTCCTGGTCAACATGGCTAAACCCCATCTCTACTAAAAATACAAAAAATTAGCTGGGCATGGTGGCGCGTGCCTGTAATCCCAGCTACTCAGGAGGCTGAGGCAGGAGAATTGCCTGAACCCAGGAGGCGGAGGTTGCGGTGAGCCGAGATCGCGCCATTGCACTCCAGCCTGGGTAACATGAGCGAAACTCCGTCTCAAATAATAATAATAATAATAAAAGGTTAAAAGCTAGCAGGATCTGCTCCCCACAGTGAGGAAGATTCCTCCCCGTCAGTGATAACAAGGAAACGTTAGTGTTTTCGCGGTTATTGCCGTGTATGGACTTTTACCCCCTGCACAGCCCTCTGAACGAGGCACTGTTATGCTCTGTGTTTGACGGTTCAGGAAATGGAGACAGAGGTGGAGGGACTGGCCCGTGGTCAGTTTGCAAGTGGCACAGCCGGACTTTGAACTGAGAGCCTGGCTCCAGAGCCCAGGGTTTTGTTCGTTCATTTGCTATTTTTATAATTTCGGTACCAAAGAGCCAGGTTTTTCATTCGCTGCTGTGTGCACAGCCTCTGATTTAGAGGAGGAATGAGGCGGAACAGGCTGGGGCCTCAAGACGGAAGGACCTACAGGTTCGCTTTTTGTTCATCGGGGAGTGGGACCTGGGATTGAGTGACGGGAAGTGCTCCCCACGGAGGTGAGCAAGGCCGCCCATAGCAGCCTCTGAGCCACCTCCTCACTCCAACGACACCCCTTGTTCTGTAAAGGTTCGTAGATACAAAGTGACCCCCAAACGCAGAGGGAGCCGAGAAACCAAAGAGCAAGACTGATGCATGCAGTTTGTCCGTATGAGGTGATTTCCCAGGGGGACGTACAGGCAGAAGCAGGGTCCAGGGTGGATGCTAGACAGGTAGATCTCCACATCCAAACCTCCCAGACCCGGGCCCTGCATCTTGGGGAGAAAAGTGTACGTGCCCTGGAAGGAACGTGTAGGCAGCTATGGGCGTCAAAGCCTATCATGTACGCCACAACATCGAGGGTTGTTTTCAAAGAAAGGCAAAACAGACTGAACAGGTATTTCTAGATAAAGGACATCGCCACGCCCTGGACAGCCAAACGAGGCCTGGCAGACTGAGTAACCCAAGCTCCCCAAGCCCTCCTTCTCCAGACTAACCCAGGCCTTAGCATGGCTTCCTGTTCTCATGTCACTCCCCAGAGACGCTGCCTCCCCAAGGGCACCAATCTAGGAAGTGCCCTGTTGGGATTGGAAAAGCAGAAGCCAGGGCCACAGGGATAGGGTGGGTTTGAAACGTCAAGACAGGGTGGCTCAGAAGGCAGGCAAGCCCCAGAGCGTAGGACCTGGAATGAAAGAGAGAAACCCATCCACCCCCATTCCCTTGTACCTATCGATGTGGGTGCCCTGCAGAGGGCTGGCGGCAGGAATTCAGCAGGGCAGCAGACAGGCAAGGTCCCTGCCCTCAGAAGTTTGTGTTTTAGTGAGAGAGAACAGATGATGGCAAATACAGTTCGTTCTCAGGATTCATGTTAGTTACAAAGTCATTGCAGACACTGAACAGAACTCCTTGCTCTTAGGGGAAATACATACATATATACACATGCGTGTGCATGCACACACATACATATACACACATATACATACACACACATATATACATACACACACGTACATATACACACATACATATACACACATATACATATACACACATACACACGCCTACATATACACACACATACATATACACACATATACACACATACATATATACACATATATACCTAGACACACATATATACATACACACATGTACATATACACACATATATACATATACAAACATACACACGCCTACATATACACACACATACATATACACACATATACACACATACATATACTCACATACACATACATACACACACATACATATACACACATACACACATACATATACACACATATACATATACACCCACATACACACGTACATATACACACATATACACACACATATACTCATATACTCACATACACATACTCACATACACATACATATACACACACATACACACACGTACACATACACACATATATACATATACACACACATACATATACTCACATACACACACATACATATACACACACACACACACGTCACTCATGTGGAACAGTGTGCCTGGAGCAGGGGGAAGCTTGAGTTTCCCAGTGTGCACACTGCTGGCTGAGATCGAACAAGACCAGGCTCTGCCTTCCTGCTTGGCTCTCCTGCAGAGACAACCAGAGGACAGAGGTATGGGGGACAGGACAGTGCAGTGCAGAGCAAGAAGTTCAGCTCTGGGGCTGGTCGGACAGGGTTTGAATCCCAGCTCCAGCATCCCACCCTTACTGGGATAGTCTCGGGAAAGTCACATGACACTTCTGAGCCTCCTATTCTTTTTTGTAAAATAGAATTTTTTTTTTAAAAAAAGCAGTACCTCGGACTGGGTGTGGCAGCTCATGCCTGTAATCCCAGCACTTTGGGAGGCTGAGGTGGGTGGATCACGAGGTCAGAAGTTCCAGACCAGGCTGGCCAAGATGGTGAAACCCCGTCTCTACTAAAAATACAAAAATTAGCTGGGCGTAGTTGTGGGTACCTGTAATCCCAGCTACTTGGGAGGCTGAGGCAGAGAATTGCTTGAACCTGGATGGTGGAGATTGCAGTGAGACGAGATCACACCACTGCACTCCAGCCTGGGTGACAGAGTGAGACTCCATCCCAAAAAACAAAATAAATAAAAATTAAAAAGCAATATCTAGCACGATGGGCTGCTTTTAGGATTTAAGATGATAACCTATGTGAGGGGTGTGTGTGTATGTGTGTGTGTGGTGTGTATGTGTATGTGTGTGTGTATGTATGTGGTGTGTGTGATATGTATGTGTGTATGTGGGTGTATGTGTGTATGTGTATGTATGTATGTGTGTGTGGTGTGTATGTGTATGTGTGTATGTATGTGGTGTGTGTGAAATGTATGTGTATATGTGGGTGTGTATGTGTGTGTATGTGGGGGTGTATGTGTGTGTGCATGTGTGGTATGTGTATGTGTGTGTGGGTGGGTGTGTGTGTGGTGTGTATATGTGTGCGTGTGTGTATGTGGTGTGTGTGATATGTATGTGTATGTGGGTGTATGTGTGTATGTGTATGTATATGTATGTGTAGGGGGGGTGTGTATGTGTGTGTATGTGTGTATGTGTATGTGTGTATGTGTGTGGTGTATGTGTGTGTATGTGGTGTTATGTGTATGTGGGTATATGTGTGTATGTGTATGTATGTGTGTGGGGGTGTGTGTGTGTATGTGTGTATGTATATGTGTGTATGTGTATGTATGTGGGGGGTGTGTATGTGTGTGTGGTGTATGTGTGTTTATGTGTGGTGTGTGTGTGTATGTGTGTATGTGGGTATATGGATGTGTATGTATGTGTGTGGTGTATGTGTATGTGTATGTGGGTATATGTGTGTATGTGTATGTATATGTATGTGTGTATGTGTATGTATGTGTGAGGGGTGTGTATGTGTGTTTATGTGTGTGGTGTATGTGTGTGTATGTGTGTGTGGTGTGTGTATGTGTATGTGTGTGTATGTATGTGGTGTGTGATGTGTATGTGTGTATGTGGGTATATGTGTGTATGTGTATGTATGTGTGGGGGGGTGTGTGTATGTGTGTGGTGTGTGTATGTGTATGTGTGTGTGTGTGGTGTATGTGTGTGTGGTGTATGTGTGTGTGGTCTGTGTGTATGTGTATGTGTGTGTATGTGTGTATGTGTATGTGTGTATGTGTGTGTATGTATGTGGTGTTATGTGTATGTGGGTATATGTGTGTATGTGTATGTATGTGGGGGGTGTGTATGTGTGTATGTGTGTGTATGTATATGTGTGTATGTGTATGTGTTTATGTGTGGTATGTGTGTATGTGTGTGTGTATGTGGGTATGTGGGTATATGTATGTGTATGTGTGTGGTGTATGTGTATGTGTGTATGTGGGTATATGTGTGTATGTGTATGTATATGTATGCATGTATGTGTATGTGTGAGGGGTGTGTATGTGTGTGTGTGTGTGGTGTATGTGTGTGTATGTGTATGTGTGTGTGGTGTGTGTATATGTATGTGTGTATGTGTATGTATGTGGTGTGTGATGTGTATGTGTGTATGTGGGTATATGTGTGTATGTGTATGTATGTGTGGGGGGGTGTGTGTATGTGTGTGGTGTGTGTATGTGTGTGTGTGGTGTGTGTATGTGTGTGTGGTGTATGTGTGTGTGGTCTGTGTATGTGTGTGTGTGTGTGTGTGTGTGTGTGTATTTTCCCTAGGAGCTACGGGTTGGTTCAGTATTTGCTAAATCACTGGCTTTCTAGAACCGGACTACAGTGAACAGTGAGACTTTACCGTATCCATTCCTAAATTATCTGAAGGAAACCAAAAAGGCATGACAATGCAGAGTCCCATAGGGAACCCGGGGGCTGCTCGGGCCGAAGAGGTGACATCAAAGCTGAGACCTAGAGGATAAGTAGGCGCCAGCCAAGCCATGTGAGGCAGGGGACCTTTGCAAACAAACAGTGAGCAGGAAGAGCCTGCGTGTTAAAGGGGAGGGAAGGAGGGCGGGGCAGGGCCACGCGGTGAGGCCAGCAGAGGGCGGCGCCTGGTGTGGGGCTGGTTGTCCATGTTGGAGCTTCTCCCACCCATCAAGTCCCTGTCAGTCTTTCTGCAGCCAAGTCGGGGAAGGAAAGGGAAGGAGAGGAGGAGCAGCAGCGGCCCGGGGCTGAGCGCCCTGGCTGCCTGACGCGCTTTCTCGTGGTGCAGGTTGAACCTGAGCTCCACCCTGGGCTACTACTTCCCCAAAGACAAACTCCAGAAGGCCTGGAACTGGTGGAACCTGAACATCCACGTCCATGCACCCCCCGTCTGGCCCATCTCCATGAACATCAACGAGAACATCCAGGTACAAGTGAGGAGCCAGGATAAGATCATCTTCTGCTTCACCTACGAACAGAAGCGGATTTGTTTAAATCTGGGCACCAGGTACAAGGTAAGGGCACGACTCCCTACACCTCCACCAGGTGGGGTGCTCACCTGTGCAAAGGCCACTGCTGGCTTGGACTGCCCACGCCACGGGTCTCCAGGCTTGTTCTATATGTGCCAACCCAAAAACAAGGCCACTTTGCTTTGCCTGATGTGTAAGTCATAAATGCATTCATGCAGCTTCCCAGCACCGTGGCCTCAGGCTCTGAGGAAATCCACATCCAAATGCATTCATGCAGCTTCCCAGCACCGTGGCCTCAGGCTCTGAGGAAATCCACATCCAAATGCATTCATGCAACTTCCCAGCACCGTGGCCTCAGGCTCTGAGGAAATCCACATCCAAATGCTCAGGCCAGCCTGGGAAGAGTGACGTGCACCTGTAACCCCCGGACAGGTGGATCCCTTGAGCCTGGGAGTTTGAGACCAGCTTGGACAACATACCAAGACTCCTTCTCTACAAAAAAAATTTTTTTAACTAACTGGGCATGGGCCACATGTGGTGGCTTACACCTATAATCCCAGCACTTTGGGAGGCCAAGGCAGGCAGATTACTTAAGGCCAGGAGTTCGAGACCAGCCTGACCAACATGGTGAAACCCCATCTCAGTATTTGCTAAATGATAGTATATCCATCTCTACTAAAAATACAAAAAATTAGCTGAGCCCAGTGGCTCACACCTTTGATCCCAGCTACTCAGGAAACTGAGTTGGGAGAATTGTTTGAACCTGGGAGGCAGAGGTTGCAGTGAGCTGAGATCACACCTCTGCACTCTAGCCTGGATGAAAGAGCAAGACCCTGCCTCAAAAAATAAATAAGTAAATAAATAGATAAAATTAACTGGGCATGGCGGCTCTCGCACCTGTAGCCCCATCTACTCGGGATGCTGAGGCAGGAGGTCACTTGAGCCAAGCATATGGTCCACAATAAACCAAAGATGTCAACATGTATTACCTCACTTGACACAGCAGCCGTGTCAGAAGTGGGGGCCAGAAACAAGGGCGGGAATCTGTGTCCCCAGCCCTGCTGCTGTGTCCTCTTCCTTCCCCCCCAGACACACTCATCTCTAAACACATGGTCCCCTGGAAGGCTGAGGCACCTGCCCAGGCAGGCGGGAGAGGAGCAATGATGTGTCGGTTTCCTGGGGCTGCTAGAACAAATCAGCACAAACTAGGAGGCCTGAAGCGACAGAAGGTTATTCTCTCAGACTCTGTGCCGGGTCTGAGATCAAGGTGCCCGTGGACCGTCCTCTGGAGTCTCCATGGGGGACACCTCCTTGCTCTCCCAGGTCTGGTGGCTCCTGGTGGCATCACTCCAGTGTCTGCCTCCACCCTGATGTGGCCTTCTCCTCTGTGTCTGTGTCAAACCTCCTTCTCCTTTTCCTTACAAGTCATTGAATCTAGGCCCACTCTAAATCCAGGAGCTCATCCTGAGAGCCTTAATTCACTCACGTCCACGGAGACCCTGTTTCCGAAGAAGGTCACGTTCCCCGGCACTGGGGTGAGGACTCAGACATCGCTTTTGGGGGACACAGTTCCACCTACTTGAAATGTTGAGGCTGGACCCCCAGAGCCCCAACTGTGGTGGGAGAAGAAGGCAGGTTCCTGAGACCCTTCTTGAGTACCAGATTCAAGGAGAGGAATGAGGGTGTCTTTGGCTCCCCCAGTGAGGCCTAAGCAAGGTCCTGTTCCTTCTCAGCTCCCCCAACCCAATCCACATGGAAGGCTCCACTGACAGAGCCCCCTCCAGACAGGCCCCTGGGAGCAGGACTGCCTGGGCAGACAGATGGACAGACATGCCCCTGGGAGTGAAGCCGCTGAGCGGCAGCGCATAACAGCAGACTGCGGCAGAATAGATGCAGCTGTGTACAGACTATCTGGAAGAGAAGCGGGAGTCTGCGAGGTTAGGGTGCCCAGCCACCCTGGTTTGCCCAGAATGGAGTCTTCTGGGGTATGGGACTTTGAGTGCTAAAACTGGGGAAGTTCCAAACAGGTCTGGCCTTCCGGCCCCCCGGGTTCCCTCGCCTGCCAAGACCTCCTATTTTGCAGGTGAATAATGGCATCCCAGCATCCTTGCCTAGCCTGGATTTCTCAGAGCAGCCAATCCAGTGAAGAAGAGGCCAGCGCTACCAAGCCAGAGTGGCTGATTCGTTCTCCTGCCATGGCCAGGATGTGCTGGGGCTGGACAGCATGAGGGCCTGGGGCACCAGGCTTTGAATGGTGGAGGGAGGAGGGTGGTGCCCAGCAAGAGTGCATGAAGGGCTGCAGTGCACAGAGAGACCAGGGAGCCTGATATCTTGGAGAGCTGGAGCCCCGGGGAGGGGCAGCTGTGCCTGGGCAGGGTGCATCCCAGACAGAGCGAATCAGCATGAGTGTAACTAATCAGAGCCAAAGAAAGGAGACAGAGCCTGGCACAGGGTCAGCCCAGGCGGGCAGCAGCGTGCCCAGGGAAGAACAGGCCCCTCTGCACCTGGCCTCTCCACTTCCTGGGTGACACTAGCCTGTGGTCTGAGCCCACGGTCTTGTATAAGATGGACATAGGTTACTGTGTGGCTAAAACCACCACAATATTGTGTGAAGACATTTCATATGCATAGGATTGGAGCACACGGGTGTCACCCTGTGTGATCCCCTCCAGGAGACTCTGTCCTCCGTCTTTTGCAGGCTGCAGACCCAGGCAGAGCTTAGCACAGAGGCGGCCTCCCGGGGCCAGGCCTTCCTCTCAACAAAACCCAGACACACTCCCAAGGAGCTGAAGGTGGAGGCGTGGCTTGCAGGAAGCCACTGTGAGGCATCCCAGCCCTCCCAGGGCCCAAGCTTAGCCCCACGGTCAGGACCCCATGGCGAGAAGCCCGGCTGCCCCAGGAAAGCAGGGCCTTTGGAGGGCAGGTCATGCCAGGTCACTGGAGCTGCTTTCCCTCCAGTTTAGGGCCAGGTGTGGGTGTGGCCTCGGCCCACATGACCATGGTCCACGTGAGCACAACTGCAGCCAAGTGACTGTATTTGGAAGCAACACAGATGTGCTTTCTCGGGTGAAAGCTCAGGGAACACTTGGTTCTGGCCACAGGAGGCCTGGCCTGGGGAGGGAGGGGGCACGGTGCCCAGGCAGCGTGGACCCTCAACAGTCCTCTGCATCCCCGCAGTTTGTGAACCCAGAGATGCTGAGTGAGATGAAGACGACAGCCATCCTGGAGGCAGAACCCGGCCCAACGGCCCAGAAGATCCGGGTCCTTCTCGGGAAAGTGAACAGGCTCCTGCATTACGTCACGATCCCCGAGCTGGAAAACTTCGTGGAGGCCGTCAGGATGTCGCTGATGGACAAGCGCCTGAAGCAGCTGCACTCTCGACCCTGGTTCTAGGGCGGGGCTTTTCTGGCAAATGTCTTGGGAAGGTGGAGACCTTGGGAGCGCCAGGGAAAAAAAAACCCAAAAACCTGCTGACGTGCTATGAGAGTCGGTTTGTAACTTGGGACCTGTCGTAGCTACTTGGTTAGAAATAAACGTTTTTGGCAGAGGGCACTGACGGTCTGTGGCTGAGCACAGAAAAGGCTTCACAGCCCTGATCGACAGCACGGACTTGCAGAAGTTCTCATGTGGCTTTTAGAACCAGCCTTAGAACAACGACTGTGCTCAAAGCTCTGTCTTTTGTTGGCTGTGAGACCTCGGGCAAGTCGCTTTTTACCTCGGTTTCCTCCTCTGTGAAATGGGCCTAGAAATAGCAACTATCACCACAGAGCTGGGAGCATTGAATTAGTTAATAGACGCACGGTCCCTATGACAGGGTCTGGCCTGTAGGAGCCACTCAGGAAGCGTCACTCCAGCTACTGTCAGCTTGGCTCTTCCTTCAGGTCTGCAGCTCCCAGGAAGGGTGTGTCTGTCAGGTCTGCAGCTCCCAGGAAGGGTGTGTCTGTCAGGTCCGCAGCTCCCAGGAAGGGTGTGTCAGGTCTGCAGCTCCCAGGAAGGGTGTGTCTGTCAGGTCTGCAGCTCCCAGGAAGGGTGTGTCTGTCAGGTCCGCAGCTCCCAGGAAGGGTGTGTCTGTCAGGTCCGCAGCTCCCAGGAAGGGTGTGTCTGTCAGGTCCGCAGCTCCCAGGAAGGGTGTGTCTGTCAGGTCTGCAGCTCCCAGGAAGGGTGTGTCTGTCAGGTCCGCAGCTCCCAGGAAGGGTGTGTCAGGTCTGCAGCTCCCAGGAAGGGTGTGTCTGTCAGGTCTGCAGCTCCCAGGCAGGGTGTGTCAGGTCTGCAGCTCCCAGGCAGGGTGTGTCAGGTCTGCAGCTCCCAGGCAGGGTGTGTCAGGTCTGCAGCTCCCAGGCAGGGTGTGTCAGGTCTGCAGCTCCCAGGAAGGGTGTGTCTGTCAGGTCCGCAGCTCCCAGGCAGGGTGTGTCAGGTCTGCAGCTCCCAGGAAGGGTGTGTCTGTCAGGTCTGCAGCTCCCAGGCAGGGTGTGTCAGGTCTGCAGCTCCCAGGCAGGGTGTGTCAGGTCTGCAGCTCCCAGGAAGGGTGTGTCAGGTCTGCAGCTCCCAGGCAGGGTGTGTCAGGTCCGCAGCTCCCAGGAAGGGTGTGTCTGTCAGGTCCGCAGCTCCCAGGAAGGGTGTGTCTGTCAGGTCTGCAGCTCCCAGGCAGGGTGTGTCAGGTCTGCAGCTCCCAGGAAGGGTGTGTCAGGTCCGCAGCTCCCAGGCAGGGTGTGTCAGGTCCGCAGCTCCCAGGAAGGGTGTGTCTGTCAGGTCCGCAGCTCCCAGGAAGGGTGTGTCTGTCAGGTCCGCAGCTCCCAGGAAGGGTGTGTCTGTCAGGTCTGCAGCTCCCAGGAAGGGTGTGTCAGGTCTGCAGCTCCCAGGCAGGGTGTGTCAGGTCCGCAGCTCCCAGGCAGGGTGTGTCTGTCAGGTCTGCAGCTCCCAGGCAGGGTGTGTCAGGTCCGCAGCTCCCAGGAAGGGTGTGTCAGGTCCGCAGCTCCCAGGAAGGGTGTGTCAGGTCCGCAGCTCCCAGGCAGGGTCTGTCAGGTCCGCAGCTCCCAGGCAGGGTGTGTCAGGTCTGCAGCTCCCAGGAAGGGTGTGTCTGTCAGGTCTGCAGCTCCCAGGCAGGGTGTGTCTGTCAGGTCTGCAGCTCCCAGGAAGGGTGTGTCAGGTCTGCAGCTCCCAGGCAGGGTGTGTCTGTCAGGTCTGCAGCTCCCAGGAAGGGTGTGTCAGGTCCGCAGCTCCCAGGAAGGGTGTGTCAGGTCCGCAGCTCCCAGGAAGGGTGTGTCAGGTCTGCAGCTCCCAGGAAGGGTGTGTCAGGTCCGCAGCTCCCAGGAAGGGTGTGTCAGGTCTGCAGCTCCCAGGCAGGGTGTGTCAGGTCCGCAGCTCCCAGGAAGGGTGTGTCTGTCAGGTCCGCAGCTCCCAGGCAGGGTGTGTCTGTCAGGTCTGCAGATCTCAGGCTGTGCCTGGGCTTCCTCGGGCTGCAAAGGCACAGCCCCTTCAGCTTCTCAGGTCTTTCTCCTCATGATGCTCCCTGTGGTCACAGAGCCTGCACACGAGCCAGGCAGGCCTCATAAGCACTGTGCCAGCTCTAGCTCATGTGGCTCCAGGACGTGGCCGCTGGGATGCAGAGAGGTCAAAGGACTCACCCAGGATCATGCGCCAGTACGTGACAGTAAAGACCGACATTCCAGCCTACTCAGCTCAACACCAAGGTGACATCGCTGTGGTGATAATATGAGTATGTTTGACCCCACCCCCACCAGTCCAGGGCTTCTCAAAGACTCAAGGCCACTCCAGGTGCTACTGCCCTTATCCTACCTTGTTGCACAGTCCCTGCCCCCCCCCACCCCACTCCAGGGAGCTCTGGAGGCCAATCCCGGCCACCCAGCTACTGCTGACTTGGCACAAACCATGCATCAGCCTGAAGGGGGTCCAGCCCCTCATACTGGCATTGGAGCCTCTGGGCACCACCCCAGCACACAGTGCCTCCTCCTGAGGCTGAGAGAGGGAAGGGTACATGTGGCCCACTGCCTGGATCCCCCACGCTTCCTGCATGGCCCCGGAGGCTCTCTCCAACCCTGACCTCCTCACACCTTGTCCACCCTGCCAAAGCAGAGGGAAACCCAGATGCCAAACTTACAGCAGCCCAAACCCAGTCCCCCAGACCAGGACCTGACCAAGAGCCTGAAAAGACCCACATGCCAGCTCCCCCCAGGAAGCGGATGGGACACTTGGGATCAATGGTAACAGTTACCAACTTGAACAAAATGGGAAAATGTGTCCTCTGGAGAGAACACTGACCTGAACAGAAGATAGGATGGGTCTCAGAAATGCTTGAGGTGGAGAGGCTGCAGGTGCCAGGTCTCGTCCTGGAGACGTTTTCTACACATCTGAAGTCACAGGGCTTTGTCTCTCAATCTCTCCTAAAAAAAAAAAACGTGGTCTCCACAGCTGGCCCTGATTAAGGCAGGAGCCCACGCTTGCTCCAATCCAGTGCAGTAAGAGCAGGTGGGAGTACGTCTTGTAAATGGCTCCCAGCTGATCCCAGAGCAGTTGTTTCTAGAAATAGGAGACTTCAGCTGGGCAGCCCCCACGGGAGGATTTTTTTACAATCTCAGAACACCTGCAAACTTCCCAGAATGACCTGAGCTCCAGCCTCAACCAAGACAGTATAGAAAACCCCAGGCCTTGCCAGGTATGGTGGCTCCTGCCTGAAATCCCAGCACTTTGGGAGGCCAAGGTGGGCAGATCACTTGAGGCCAGAGTTAGAGACCAGTCTGGGCAACATAACAAAACCCTGCCTCTACTAAAAATACAAAAATCAGCTGGATATAATGGGGCACACCTGTGATCCCAGCTACTCGGGAGGCTGGGGCACGAGAATCTCTTGAGCCCAGGAGGTGGGGAGGTTACAATGAGCTGAGATGACACCACTGCACTCCAGCCTGGATCACACAGTGAGACCCTGTCTCAAAAAAAGAAAACCCCAGGCCAGGTGCGGTTGCTAACACCTGGAATTTCAGCACTTTGGGAGGCTGAGGCAGGCATATCACTTGAGGTCAGGAGTTCAAGACCAGCCTGGCCCACATGGCGAAATCCCGTCTCTACTAAAAATACAAAAAAGTAATCTCTTTTCACCCTTTTGGCTAAGATCAAGTGTAAAATCAGAAAAAGTGAGCATGGTGGTGGGCACCTGTACTCCAGCTGCCTGGGAGGCTGAGGTGGGAGGATCGCCTGAGCCCAGGAGGTGAAGGCTGCAGAGAGCTGTGTTCACACCACCACATTCAGGCCTGGGCTACAGAGTGAGACCCTGTCAGAGAAGAGAGGAGAGGGGAGGGGAGGGGACCGTTCCTCTAATTAGCCATCCTCCACTGTGAACAGTGACACCCACATGCCACCTTCACGGCCCTTCTCCCCGATGCTCCCTACTGTCCGACACCAGCCTCCACTTAATGCTCTGTCCTCACCCCTAAACATCACCTGTGCAGCTGAGCTGGGACCAGGACAGTCAGGCTGTCAGCGGCAGGACGCTACGCATCACTTCCTCCGCCTGACAGTCACACCCTCCTGACGAATGCTGTCACTGGCTAACACAATGGCTCCTTTGTTGCACGGTTATGAGCCATAAGTGACTGCTGTGCTTGCACCCCTTCACATAACCACAAAGTCTGAGGGCTGGGGTAGTTCCACACCTATGCTTGGGGTACACGGAAACCCCTGTCCTTACCACACATCAAAGACAGGAGCTCCCAAGTGATCGGAGCAACACACAAGTCACCCCTAGCCTGTGACTGTCTCTCAGCCCCAGCCCCAAGGCTTCCCTGCCCACAGCCCCATGCCCTCGCCACACACAACAGGAAGGAGGTGCATGTGCCCCGGAATCAGCCCTGGGTTTGGGTCTTGGTACCGCCACTTAGTGGTGTGACCTTGGGTAAGGGAATGGGCCCTCTGTGACTCAGTTTCCTCCTCTCTGTAATATGAGGACCATCGCAGAACAGACCTCCCAGGGTGTCACAGGGATTAAGCGATATACCGTAGGTGCGGCACCAGCTCGGTGCTCGGTACACGCTGGCTCCTGTTACCGCCCGTCAGTTCCTCTCCCTTCACACAGCTTCTCACGTTACTCCACGAAGGCAGAGGTTGTCAGCAGGCGGCCTCACGGGGCGTTTTCTTTGGTCAGCCCCGTTTTAAAAAATATTTTGTTGCCAACCTTTAAAAGACAGGAGATTTCACACAGAAATAGGATTTCCAGCTTGTGTTGTAAGTGCTGCCTGGCGTGGACTATCATCGAAGGCTGGAGAGAATGAGTGCTCGGGAGGAAAAGAGAGTGTCAGCACCCCATGCACCGTGGGGGAGGTAATGGAAGCAGCCAGCCGGCTGGCTGGGAACTGGAAAAGCCAGGTCCCAGCCTCTCTATTACTTTGCTGAGGCCATTATAACAAATACCACACACAGTGAGTGGCTTCACCAACAGAACTCCCTGTCTCAAGTTCTAGAAGCTAGAAGTCCACGATCAAGGTGTTGGTGGGCCGCGCTCCCTCTGAGGGCCCTGGGGAAGGGTCTGTGCCAGGCCACGCTCCCTCTGAGGGCCCTGGGGAAGGGTCTGTGCCAGGCCGCGCTCCCTCTGAGGGCCCTGGGGAAGGGTCTGTGCCAGGCCGCGCTCCCTCTGAGGGCCCTGGGGAAGGGTCTGTGCCAGGCCGCGCTCCCTCTGAGGGCCCTGGGGAAGGGTCTGTGCCAGGCCGCGCTCCCTCTGAGGGCCCTGGGGAAGGGTCTGTGCCAGGCCGCCCTCCCTCTGAGGGCCC